TACCGCTGTTTGTCAGTCTCACCCATGCTTCGGCTTTGGGACACCAACCTCGGCAGGGCCAGCTCCGAATCCATTGAGGACGCAGGCTCCCATATAACTACCATAAGATGTTGCCATGGCCCTCCAGATATTACTGGCTAAGCAGATGAGGGTGGAGAATATCAGGACGGGTCTGCGACCATAGGCGCTCTGAATGGGGATCCTTCTTGTCGTCAGCACCCTCGAGATTGCGAAGTTGGTCCAGGGCTTACCAAAAGAAGTTACTGAACCCCAACACAAGAATACACACGCCAGTAAATTTGACCACGGCGGCATAGTCCGTATCGAAAGCCTCCATCAACTGAGGAAACATTGGTGCTAGGGCCAAAGGTCCTAGACCTTGACTGAAGGAAACCGCAGTGGACAAGCAGATAACGGTTACCTTCCATGTCTTACTCCAGTTCTGAGGCATTCAATTAGCGTTAGAGATGTCCTATCGCTCCTACTGAAGCACCACTTACCAAAGGATCATGCGGGCTTTGTGATGGCTGAGGAACGAGAACACGATCTGATCGCGACGACGCTTTCACGAAATGATGCGACCCAACATCTGCCATGATTTCTGTGCCGGGATAAATTTCAGTATTGAGCTCCCGCTCAATCCTGGAGATTATTAGCAGCGATCAGTTTTTGAAGAGAATCAACATACTGATGGAGAGCCTACGCACCATCCTTGTCAGTATTTCGCATTTCAACCCAGTACCAAAGGACACATACCGCTTCATCATAATTCATCTCCATCTTCGATTCCAGCACAATAAAAGTCTTCTACTTCAGATCAGCGAGCTCTGAAAAGCCCTACAGCCCCCCCTAAATCTGACACCCAGCACCCCTTTATCTACCAAAACCCCCCTGCATTACCACCTACGCCAACACTCAGACCCTTCCCGCCCAACGCGGAATTCCCCCGGACCCCAACACCCCCATAGCCGACCCAAGGAACCCCCGACAGGCGATACGAACCCAGAGCGGGGGTTTCCGAAAGGGACGCCCAGCATGAAACTAGCTGCTGTAGCCGATCTTTTAAGCATGGGTCCTTCATTGGTTCTTATAGCGTCCGCATGTCTGTCACGGAGATGTCTGTGCTGGGGGGAGACCCACTTCCCCGGATTTCGTTCCTTTCTCCACTTTCATTGCCGTTCGAGTTGGCGGGAATATGCCGCTGTGGGGTCTCATGGTTGGATGGCACTACGTCAATGGATGGATCCTAGGTTTGGTCTCTCGAGTGGTCATTGACTTTGTGCAAAGTACTATGTGCGTGGTTATGCATGGCTAGGAACAGGGAATTGATGGGTTCAGGGAGATGTGAGGCAGGTTTTGTGTCGGAATTTCTGGTTTTCTTCGGTTGGATGGTACAACCAAACTTTTATATGACTGGCTGCAAGGTTCATCCAATCATATAGTTTATCTTCGAAGTCAGTGTGTCCTCAGCTTCGGCTCTTCCTAACTGCCGTATCGGCACTCAACTGTATCCAGAATTCACAAATCAGAGAATACAACCCAAACAGATCAACACTACCCACCCAAATCACTACAAATACATACACCTAACCCCAAACATCTCTCACAATCACACAAAGTAAGTAATATAACCAATCTACCTCTCCTCCCACAACCCCTTCAACCTCTGAATCTCCGAATCCGTCTCCCATCCCAAATCCGCCCCAATCCCACACAACAACTCCTCGACAACCTGCCTCTCCTCCTGCTTCTCGAGACACTGTCCCGCAGCGAACAACAAAGCAGGCATATAAATCCGCGCGCAGCTCTGGGGCCTCGCCGCCGCAATTCCCACAATCTCCTTACATCTGTAATCGACCTCCTTCGTGACCTCCCTGTACCCCTGTAGTCGGTCGAACGCGGTCGTGGGACTTGTGATGACGTCCGCGGGACGATTCAGACATAGTGCTAGTCGACCAAAGTGGTATTGTTGCATGGTGGAGGCACAGGATGGGAGGCTGTAGTAGACTTCCGGGCGGGGAGTGTGCAAGCGCAGACACGGGCGGAATGTTTCGGGCATGCGGTCGACCCAGGATTGGAAGGAGACGGAGAGGTTGAGCCAGGTTGTAGAGGTGGAGGTGGAGGTGGAGATTGGGGGTGTGGTTGGGGTTGTTCTGGTTGGGGGTGATGGGTGGGTGATGAGTTGGTCTAGTTGGGAGGTTCGGAGGTGGGCGAGGAAGTTGGTCAACTTGGATAGGAGGTAGGTGAGGCTGTTGGAGGCGAAGTCTTCTGAGGTGGGGAAGGAGGTGCTGCTTGAGGGGTCAATTTCGCCGGTTTCGGTGAAGGTGAGGCCGGCTGCGCGCCAGAGGGGGAGGTTGGTGGGATCGAGGTAGGTGGGGAGGCGGTTGAAGTAGGAGGCTAGGTAGTCTTGTCGAGCGAAGTTCCAGAATGAGGCGGTGATGCCGTGGGTGAATTTTATGGGGTCGGAGGAGTTGCTGTTGAGGTGGAGGAGGGATTCGAATAGGGAGTTGACGCCGGTGAGGTGTCTGTAATTGTATGTGGGTTAGATATAGGGTGTGGTGGTGTAAGCTGGGGCGAGGGGGGTGAATTACAGGTTCCACTCCTCTCCGGGTTTGCTTATGATTTTATACATGGTAAGCATGGTTGCTGTGGCTAGCAAGGCCTCTGCCTTCCTCCAGAACGTGTCGTCTCTTGCGGATGGAGGAGTAGTCTCTGCATGGCGGTGCAGCCAGGTTTTCACGATTTCGACGGGGCCTTCCAGGACAGCAGAACTGGACAGAGTCGCAAAAGATTCTGGCATGCTTGAGTTCATGCGCGCGATTGACATATAGTAGTAGTTTGCAGCCTTGAGATACCAGTCCACTTCTGGCGCGTTGGGGTACGTCTCCATGGCTGCCGGGCTAGTAAACATGCCAACGTTTTCCGGACATGTCGCGCCCTTCATCTGGCCCAGATGTGTTGCTGCTAAGGCACCGATCGAGTATCTCACGTAAGGATAATCTATCGCTCGTATGGGAACGTAGGTTGTGAAGAACCTTCTACTATCGGAGAGGTCTAGCCTGATACCATGATTATGTTAGATCGTAGAATGGATGCAGTGTTGGGCCGTTACGAACCATGGAGCGATATGTTGCGAGTAATGGCGTATAAGAAAGGATATCTCGTGCTCAGAGTCGGTCATTAACTCTGATACCACCTCATGAAAATCCTCCTTGTCACTTTGCACGGATTGGCTGTCATGAGATGGTAATTGATCATCAGCTGTTGCATGCTCTTCGTGATAATTCATGGGTGCATCTCCGTGGGGATGAAGTCTATCGTCAAAAGGATTACTATGAATGTGAGACACTTGAGCGGCACGGCTATGAATATCCGGCAATGGCTGTTCACGCGCTGCAGCAGCACCAGCGCTGGCGTTTGGGCTATGCTGACTTTCTGCTTGTAATTGATTTTGACGTCTTGATTCGGCTATAGGTGAACCAAAAAAGACTTGACTAGCGTCGGCTGGCTGATCGGATACAGCTGTTGCAGCTACACGCGTGTGTATTGGATCATTAACGGCATTGCTTCTGATTGCAGCTCCTCCAATATTTGACGGACTTTCTCGCGTCACCTAACCGGTGTGAGCAGCAGTTGACTACCGAGGTTTACGGGCGGACGCGAGAACGGGTAGCTATACCCCGATGCATGTACTCACTTTATTGGGACTATGTGAATCATCTCGTCGAGAGTTTTCCTGCTGATATGGCGCATATCGACGCCGAACGGAGGCGCCCTGATCGATAAACTTGCGAGTTTGTACATATCCAGGACATTCAACCCCAGCATTGGTGCAACGCTGACAGCTAGGGCGTGTCTCATCACACTGAGATGGTCAGACTGACGCAGCAAGTAAATTGTAACATACTATTCTAACCTTCAGATGGCGCTTCTTACATCGCTCACACGCCTTGTTGGATGGAACTCCTGGCATGGTGTACGCTTGCTGTGGCGTCAAACAAGGAGTTAAGGTTGGTCTTAGGGGCAAAGCAGACGATAGTACTCATCCTAATGAGGAGAGTAGCTCAAACAGACCTCGCAGTTTATACACTCATGTACAATGCAATGTACAATCGAGATATCTAGTTCCAAGTGACTGAGCGAGGGAGCTTTCGTCGTCGCCGAGCTTGGCACACCGGGATCGGTCCCGGGGTTCGATCGGAGAAATGTCGGCACGGCTATCCGAGGCCGGTACTTCTGGCCGGCTGAAGCCGAAACGTCCCAACATTTGCCAGCATCCTTGACACTCCTTTCAAGACAATGAGGAAGATTAGTCGGATAAAGACCAATATACAATTGCTGTGACTTACTTGGTCGCACTGTTTCAGAAAACGTCTGACCCTCCTACCTGACACGCATCTTTAGGGTCTGATCCTTCTCAATCTCTTTCTTCGAAAGGGTACCATTACTAGCGCCTTCGCTTTCCTTCAGTTAGTCGTTAGTTCCCCGACATTGCTATTCTCGTTATGTATACTACACTCATTTCTAGCCAGCAAGGCAGTGAAGAAGAGCCGGTTCAGGGCTACCTCATTGGGCAAGAACTCAGTCTGTAATTGCGATGCCGCATTTGCAGTTGTGCCATCACGGCATCTATCATGAGGCATATGCTCAACGTAATTGGAAGTAGCCCTACCTGTAGTGATAGGACTATAGGCCCTGTTATGCAGAGGACACCGATATAATGTGACTCTCCAAAATCATCCCGATTGATAAACTCAAATTGGTCAGGCTACAGACCAGGTCCGAAGCCAATGTTGATACCAGGTATCATCTCCTTGCCACATCCAATTCCTGTCGTATCCTGGCATGTTGGTGCATAAGGAAGGAGGTGCAGACATCTTATAAGGTTTTGAACTGTACAAAAACCACCGCGAGTACTGTCTGCCGCAAATTGAGGTCAGATCTCAGAACGAAGTCCAAAAAGACGCTTTGAGGGAAGTACAAATACACCATGCAATTTTACCATTATCCTAGTGTTTGCTTACCAAATTGTTAGTTGGTTTGTTACTAGTAAGGATTGGAACATGCATGGAGTGGCGGCTCTCGCCACACTGACAGATGGCATGGCCGGTTACATGCTACTGTGGCGGGCTCTAGCGGTGCATTGACGGGCTTCCTACTCGCCCTAATAGTAGAGACTAAGACTTCCCCTCCCTGCCCCAAATTCCGACATGTCCCCCTTTATTCCCCAGCGGTCGTTCTTAATGACTCACGGTTTCGCTCTATTTACATGTTCCAAATTCTCTCATGAGATTTCCATCCCCATCGCTATCCACTGATCTCGCCCATGGAAGGAAAGGTGGAGAGAACACCAGAAAATGACCCTTCCCTGCCCTAACTGGCTTCGCGTGTAAGTATGAGACCCCGCGGGTAAATGCAACCCTGCTGAGTCTCCAAACAGAGTCTTCCTCGCCCTGGAGATCACGGTGTTCTTACCCCAACTCTTGCGTATCTGGGTTCAAAAGACGAGCACCGGCCTCTCCCTCATCTACATATTTTTGAATCTTCTTAGTGCCACCGAACGGTTTACCGTCGGTTTCTCCGCAATCGTCAACTACACCATCGCCGGCGCCGATGCGCCAGCCTTTTTCGTCCATGATCCGAGAACAGGAGGAGATTGGCTGAACCTGTTGCAGCTAGGTGTTGATTGGGTGCTGCTCTTGCTCTTGTAAGATTACTGCTACTAGCCTCTCCATTCCACGGTCCGCGCTCCGCCAAACCGAACCGAATACCGTCCCGTGATAAACACTAACTGAAAATGGCCCAAGCTTCATTCTATGTCTCACCTATCCCCCTCCCCACTACCCCTACGCCAGTCAGCTACGCATCCTAGTGGCCGTCCTGTACACGGCGTTCACCCTGATCTCCGTCGTCCCACTTTTCACCGACACTCTCTTCCCCTCCATTTTCCACGAACCGGGTGAACGTCAACTCAATATCGGCGTGGCCATATTTATGGGGTTTCATCTCTTTTTCCTCAATACCATATTCACACTTGTCAGCATCTGCTCGATTATTCCTCAGGCCGTCCAGTTCCGCTCGCTGCCGTCGAATTCCAGTGTGCTGAGAGTGCGGAATTGCGCTCTCCAAGGGGTAGTATTGGCCATGATAGCTGTGTCGTGGGTGTTTCGAGTGAAACTCCCGGATGGGGTCGATGACCTAACGCCGTTCCGATCCATTATTTGGTATGTACGGGTAGGTTGGCCGGCCGGAGGTACAGGGATATTTGCTTTAGTCCAGGGGGGTTTGGCTGTCTTGGGGCTAGTAGGGAGAAGGAGAATGGGTGGGAAGGGAGTGGCCGTAAGAGGGGGAGAAACGGATCCGCTTCTACAAGCAACGAGGGATGTGGTAGAGGAACAAGCTTAGATGGACCTTTCTCCTTTACATGTTGAGTGGTTTTAAGAGAGTCCCTCCAATGTTTATCTGAAGAAGGGAGAAGAACAATCAAAAGATAATTGATACCCTTAACTCGTGCCATATTCTCACTTTAGGATGTTCTTTCGATTCCAATGCATATATTCCCGAATGGCCAAGGAACAAGCCATGGAGCCCTTGGGGAGACATGATCAGGAAGCTTTTGAATAAGTTAGGTCTGACAGTATCTACGAAACTGTAATATGGCTCTTTGAAATCACATTCAAGGACTCCCACTTTATTACCTTATCACACTAATGCATGAGGAAAAAATCCACCATACTGAGTCACCTGGTTGGTGGAATCGGTTAGTGGATAGTTAGTGGTAAACGGAGGAAGTGAGCTGGGAGTAAGCTAGCAACTGACCCGCATCCTACTTTGACTTATTTCAGTTAGCCAATTCCTGAAAATCATCAGTTAGTACTTAGCACATTGCTTTATAAGACCCTTGATCTCCACCCCATACTTTCTCAACTTTCTGTTACCCCCACTCCCGGCAACCGATTTCCCTGACTGTTTCCACATGGATACTTATATCAGATGCAAGGAAGACCATCGGCAGTAAGTTCAGCACGATTATCTTGAAAGAATCCGTTACGAAATTTCCTGCCTAGGCCCGATACCCCACCGTTGGTCCTGGAGCTAGTAAATAGCAGCCCGACACTTTGGACGGAGGATGAACCAACCCAATCGTTCACAGTCGCTTTGCGCAGAGTCACAAACAATCAATGCTTCTGGCTGCGATGGTCGCCTTTCATAGATCCCAGTAAGGAAGAATTTGTTTTATTATCTCATAGTCCAGAAAGCAGCAAAGTCGAGAGGATCGGCATGGAGAAATACTCGAGATATTCACCATCAATACCAAGTGTTCGTCAATTCCCCAATGAACCGGCATCGTTCTATGTTGAAGAAGCCAAAAAGAATTGGGATCGCAGTACAATAAATGTGCGAGAGAGGGTACCTGATGCCTGGATCAAGCTCCTAGAACCGGGGCGCACTTATACCATTCTCTGGACGGGCAAAGAGATTCCATACTGGGATTGGGGTACGCCGCAGGACAAGGTGGGAACTGAACCAAAATGGCCCCCTATCTTGGTTCCGGGTGGTGCACACCGCACCTTTACTGTGCAAGAAGGGCGGCGCCCTCATATTCCCTCACCTCCGACGCCACCACCAATTGATCCAAGCGAAAGAGTGTAAGCCCTTCACTTCCAGTGGAGAGGAGGCTTGTGAGCTAAAAATTGAACAGTCCCGGCGCACCAGTCCTGAGTCTTCAGCTTAGCTGCAGCCCAACAGGGCCTCATTCTGAGCGTTTGAATATGTCGATCAAGGTCACCTACCACGGCCCATCATCCGACCCCATCACTTTCCACACCTGGGCGTTCAGCCCACTTAGATCCTTCAGCGTCTATCGCCGTGTCTTCCCAGATCAGTCTAGTCCAGAGACTGAACCGAAATGGAAGACATGCATACCCGAACAGTCACCACATGTCTTTTGGGATAATCCTGACAGACAGCTCAACGTGGCAGAAAATGAAGAAGGTCGGTTCGCAACGCTCTTCCCCGGGGAATCCTGGTCCGATTTCTGGTCTTTCGATGCGGATGGAGATTGTGAGCCTGAAGACGCCCGACCTGGCCAGCAGCTTCGATACCAATTCACAGGGGAAACATTGGACTGGTGGGATTGGGGTACGATGGAGGATCACGCGCAAACCGTTGTCACGCTGCCTGGATCGGGTTTAGAACCCATTAAGCACCCGAAGGACAATGACAACCGACCTAAAGTGGTCATACCAGCTTCTAATATTGTCGAGTGGACTGTCCCGCAGTGCTTTGATCGTCAGTTTGATTAGTGCAACTACAATATCTCTTAGGACTCCGTCGTTCTTTTAGCCACAAAGCTTCAGGTTGCCGTGTTTCTATCAAGAAAAATAACTACAAAGCTTTTATGTGCTGCAAATATAATATTTGCTATACCAGAACCATCTACCATGTAACTCGGAAGCTTACTCCAGAAAGGCCCACAAGAAATTTCTCCAAAATTCAGATCGTTCGATGACAGCGAACAGAAAGGAGTACACATAACAAGTCAACTAATGCAGTGCCGCTTTAATAGAAACAATGACTCTGATCACGGGGCACAGCTGCTGTCCCCGCATCTGTTAATGCCCAAAACAAGGGCGGGGCAAGCCACCAGAAACATAACAGTGCATTATCCTACTGCCATCGACGACTGACTACTACACATTACTGACTCTAAAATGGGACAGGGCAGATTGCAAAACAAAACCGCTATTGTGACCGGCGGAGCTTCTGGATTCGGGGAAGGAATCGTGCACAAGTTCATCCTCGAGGGCGCTAATGTGATCATTGTTGATATCAATCAGCTAGAAGGGTTACGGGTGCAGAATAATGAGCCACCAGGACGCGCTATCCTCGTTCATGGAGATGTATCGAGTGAGTCTGATTGGAAGTGGGTGTTTGAAGTGACACTGGAGAAATATAAGAAGATTGATATCGTGGTCAATAATGCTGGGATTGTTCATGAAGTTCAGGTATTCATCTCTTGTGACCCTTACTTTATTCATGGGCTTCTATTGTAATCTATGGCGTTTACTAATACCCTGATCCTTATAGCCATCTCTCGAGACATCCGAGGACATGCTGGACCGCATGTATAAAGTCAATGTCAAGAGTATCTACCACTCGACAAAGACTATTGCTCCCTACTTTCAAGCCCAGGGTGGGGGCGTTTTCGTGAATATCTCAAGTATGAGCTCTATTCGCCCTCGGCCGCAGTACGCTTGGTACTCCGCTACGAAAGGGGGTGTGAGTGCGGTATGTCTGTTCCTTTCCTTTCCTTTCGCGTTCAGCGTAGAGAGTCTTACAATACAATGAGCGCAGGCTACCAAGAGCCTGGCTGCAGAGTTTGCGAAGGATAACATTCGTCTCAACACTGTGTGTCCCGTTGTAGGCGAAACTGGAATGTAAGTATCGATTTTGATTATCCGCCCTCTTGACAGACGTCCTTACTACCTTGTATGGGTGCTAATACATGGCCAGGATGCCTCTAATCCTTGGGGGTCAGGACACACCCGAGACTAGGAGCACACTTCTGTCTAGCATCCCTTTGGGACGATTTGCCACTCCGGAAGATGTTGCCAATGCCACTACCTTTCTGGCAAGTGATGAGGCTTCGTTCATCACGGGGGTGGAATTACCGGTAGATGGGGGAAGATCACTGTGATTAAGATATTGAACTACGGACATTATGGAACACTCAGTGGCTTTGTGATTATGTACTGCGAATCTCCGATATAAGCCATCTGGCACCATGTATCATGTCCTGGGTAGCAGCCTTCGTCGTGGTCAGTTCGGGGAATATCCAGAATGCGTGGGGCATTCCCGAGTAGACAGCAACCTGCGCTGGTATGCTAGACAATGGAGTCAGTGGTAATTGAAACGCACAGTCTGGAAGAACTAATGTACCCCCTTTCTTCAAGTTTGTCCGCATAAGCTAGGGCCTCGTCGCGGAGCGGATCACGGCCACATATCATGATAAAAGTTGGCGGAGATCCACCAAGATCCCGGGACAATAGTGGAGATACCGTAGGATCTGCCCGGTCATAAGGCTGATACCACTCAATGAACTGCTTCATTGAGTGCTGATTGAGGATTGGTGTATTAACGAACTGTTCCAAGCTTTTCAATCCCATTCTCTGGTAATGCAGCTCACTAGAGCACAGGACTGGAGACCGAAGGAGCTGACCCCGGATATCGACTCCCAAAGTCGAGGAGATCTGGGACAGTACAGCAGCCTAGGTCAAAAATCGGTCCAATCATATTAGTAGAAGCATCATCTCGTTTACCAGAAACCATGGGAGTTTCATACCAAGTTTGCCCCAGCACTAGTCCCCCCAACGTATATCTTACTCTTTTCGAAGCCATGGGTCAGATTGTTTTGGAATACCTATTCAAAGATATGCTATTAGCCATATCTAGTCCTATGTGACTGAGTAGAATATAGTATACCCAACGAAGTGCTGTGGTCGCATCTTGAATAGCTGCTGGATGCGGGTTCTCTGGTGCACTGCATGATCCCATTGTTCGATGGTTAGCGCGGCCTCTGAAACCAATGGGTCACTTACAGGCGATAGTCAACGCTGACCACATTCAGCATGGCTTGCACACATAGAACGCGACAGATATTGTCTTCTCCTTCCAGGTCTCCCAGGGCCCAGCCGCCTCCATGGAAGCTTCACGTCCGATAAATCACTATTAGGCCGTTTCAGAGCATAGGTTTTGCCAGAAAACATACTATAACATGACGGCCCCCTTTGGTTCAGGCGACAGTGGCTTGTATATTCTCAGGTTCAATCTCGGCGGGGAGTCTGTAGTTAGATCATCAACTTTCAGTCCTTCAACTATTGGCGTTCCACGTTGTTGTGCACGCATTTTAGCTTCGTGCATTGTTTGACGATATTGCTGTACTGAGCCAGTTAGATGGGGAACTTTGCTTCTGTTATTGCGATAAAACTGGCTTTGACATTAACTTTCCATTACTATTTCAGTAGCTCTTGGGACAAATTGCAAGCATCCTACCTCTTCCCATTCCACGTTCTCTTTGGAGAAATTATCCCGTTGCGATAGCCACCGGCCAGTGCTGGCACTAGGCATCTGCTCTCGACTCATGGATGGCTATCTACTAACACTGGGTCAGCCTGAAATGTGTTCGATATTGAGAAAAACATTCGAAGGGGCGACTTTTAATTTAGCATTCTCAGGGAAGAAGAGGAACGAAGATCCATTCCCTTGTTCTCGCTTCTTAGAAGCTGTATATAATGGCATCATAATGATTATCGCATGATGCATGGCAGACTTTCAACGCGCACCGGGATGCGGGCATGTGACCAGACATCCACAGCGACCACCTTCAGAAACTCCCTGTGAAAGCTACATTTATTTCAATGGTCTCCTGCAATTTCACTCATTAGATACCTTTCAGACTTATGTGAGGAAACTGAGAAGCATGTGACTCACTCCACCAATTCTCTCGAATTTCAATGCCTGGTACCCCCAAAAGCGTCCTTCCAATGTTCCTGACTACTACAATTATTTCCAAATGTGCCAAAACAATGCCTTCGCCAATGATGCAATGGATGCGACTTGACCCTCCTTTTATCCTCAGAAGGCTTACATACACAAGCCATCGGCATGGGAATCCTGGCTAGGGCTCTCCGCATAAAGTCTTGTCGAACGGTATGAAACGTTGAGAAGTCGGTGCTAGGCATTGGATCCGATAAATATGTGATTTTTCTTCTTCTGCAGTTCTGGCAAGACAGCGCGTACCAATTTAAGCAACGATTGGAATACTCCTCACTGCGGATAGACCATTATGACAGGGGATCGTCGGCTCTCCGCATTTCGGCTCTCGGATCATTTCATCCCTTGCCGGGACTGGCCAACACGCTGCTCCGATGGAGCGTTACACGCAGTAGCTGGCTACTGTTCCCGATCAGGAATCAGACCGTGTCAATCCCTGCAGCTAAAGCAATTCTGCCAATATTCGGGGGGTGTCAAACGAAACGTGATGCTATGATTGGCCTCGGCAGTAAAGATAATTTCCTATCTTCTACCCCTCATACAGTCACGCTGCGCACAAGAGAGGGGTGGGCTTTCTTGACCTCAGTCGCAGGGAATTTGGGTTACAATGGAATGTCACTGCACGCGACGCTCCTGTCGTTAAATACCAGGCTTCATGGCCGGTTGTTTCTGATTGTGCAGCACTTGCATGGTCAAATTTGAAGCTCTGGTCCTGCCAAAATGTTCTTGTCATCAAAGACACACAAAGCACTACCAGCAATATTCCTCGCTTGCGGTTTTGTGGCTGGGCAAGAGAGTAGTAACTCGAGCTTCGATGTACTGGACTACGTTAATCCCCTGATAGGTACCTCCAATGGAGGTAAGAACAGTCCTTTGAGAGCATCAACTCGCCAGGCTAATATAACGGTACAGGTCACTCATTTGCAGGGGCGACTCTGCCCTTTGGTTAGAAGTCCCAACGTGCCGGACTGTCTCCATGCCCTCTGACAGGTTTTAGGAATGGCAAAAGCGGTAGCAGATACAATTGGTGAAAACCAAGCCGGTTTCGCCTATGACACGACATACGTCTCGGGATTCTCCCATATGCATGACGATGGAACCGGTGGCGTGAGTCATCTCGCTCAATGGTATGCCATTAACGCTGACTGTTGTCCTTCAGTCACCATCTCTGGGCAACTTCCCAATTTTCGTGCACCCGGGATGCCCGGACGATGCTCTCGACAAGTGTACATGGCAACAGTCCGATCGGGCGATTCCTTGGACGAAAGGCTCGCCAAAAGCGCGCCCTGGTTACTTTGGTATCACGCTACAGAGCGGTGTATTTGCAGAGATGACTGTCACGAACCATTCAGCTTTGTATCGGTTCACCTTCAACAACGCGACCGAGTCGCTCAGTCCTGTGGTTCTCGTTGATCTCATGGATCTTCCACAGTCGCGCACGAACGGAACAGCATCAGTAAATCCATCCACGGGTCGCTTGACAGGAAATGGTACCTTCAGCCCCAGCTTTGGTATCGGAACTTATGATCTCCACTTTTGCGTAGACTTCAATGGTGGTGTCGTTCGAGACACGGGTGTGTGGTCCAACAATCGTGCCGGTCAAGGGCAGACAACCATATCACTCACATCTGACGGGAGCAACACCGCGGCGACCCTCTCTGCTGGCACATTTGCCCGATTCAATATGTCAACAGATGACCAAGCACTAATGGCAAGAGTGGGTGTGAGCTTCATTAGCGTGGAACAGGCCTGCTCCAACGCTGAAAAGGAGCAGCCGAATTTCGACTTCGCTGGAACAGTCAGCGCAGCAGAGGACGCATGGAGGGATAAATTGAATGTCTTTAGTGTTAACCCGGGAAATGTCTCAGCCGATCTACAGCAAGTATTCTGGAGCGGCATGTATCGTACAATGATAAGCCCGCAGGACTATACAGGAGAAAACCCACTCTGGCAGAGTGACGAGCCGTATTATGACAGCTATTACTGGTGAGTGGACCGCTTGGATTTTCCACATCTTACTTACGACTAGATAGTATATGGGACTCCTTCCGCGGCGTTCATCAGCTTCTGACGCTAGCCGATCCGCTGTCGCAATCTCGAATGATGAGAAGCCTGGTGGACATCTACCGCCACGAAGGCTACCTACCAGACTGCCGAATGTCATTATGTAAGGGATATACGCAGGGAGGGTCAAACGCGGATGTTCTTCTCGCCGAAGCTCTCTTGAAAAATGTCAGTGACATTGACTGGGCTACTGCGTATGAAGCTGTTGTGAAAGATGCCGAGGTAGAGCCCGCGAACTGGAATGTCGAAGGTCGCGGTGGACTGACTAGCTGGAAAACACTCAACTATATTCCGACCGACGATTTCGATCCATATGGTGTTGGGCTGCATACACGCAGTATCTCCAGGACTGTCGAATATGCGTACGATGACTTTTGTATTGCACAAATGGCCCAGCGTCTGGGTCATCAGAGTGACTACGAAACGTACATGCTGCGTGCCAACAACTGGCAGAACATGTTCAAAGACGATCAAAAGTCTTACCTGCAAGGGAAGGACACTAACTTCACAGGGTTTCTACAGCCTCGATACCCCAACGGGACTTGGGGCTATCAAGATCCGATCTTCTGCAGTCCTTTATTGAATTTCACATCTTGTTACTTGAATGCGGATGGGCACGAGACTTATGAGGGAAGCGCTTGGCTCTATTCATTGTGAGCTTCATACACTTTTCCTTATCTCCATTCAACTATTGACTAAGTTATGAAGCTTTGTACCACAAGATATGGCTGCATTGGTCACACGATTAGGCGGACCGCAGACCTTCACTTCCCGCCTTTCTTATCTGCATGACTCTGGTCTACTTTACGTTGGTGACGAGCAGGCCTTCCTTACCGTATTCCAGTTCCATTACTCTGGACGGCCCGCGCTGTCAACTCAACGCGCCCACTACTACATCCCTTCTCAGTTTAACACCTCTGTCTCCGGTATTCCCGGTAACGATGATGGGGGAGCCATGGGCGCGTTCGCGGTCCTTAGCATGATGGGTCTGTTCCCTGTCCATGGTCAGGACGTGTATCTCATTAGCCCGCCATTCTTTGAGGAGATCAGCATACAAAACAAGCAGACTGGAAAGGTCGCCACGATACGAAATGTTAACTTCGACCCTACATACAAGTCGATCTATATCCAGAGCGCCAAACGGGACGGTCAAGCATGGACGAAGAACTGGATCAGCCATGACTTTTTCCTTAATGGAGGGACCCTCGAGCTTGAGCTAGGCCCCACGGAGAGTGATTGGGGGACTCGGGATGAGGATTTGCCTCCGAGCATGAGCAATTACTGATTAACTAGTCTAGATGCTTTCCTCATTCGTCCCTAGCTACCAAACGTCCTTAAGCTTTTTTGCAAGCTTTCCTAGAACGGACAGGCGGGTGTTTCTGTGAATGTTGCCAGAATAGCTTATGATTTGGGTCCAGCCTAGGGTCATTTCCTGTGCTTCATCTACAATCCAATAGCTATGAGGAGTCAATCCGTTCCGGCGACAGGTCCTACCAATATATATCACACGATATTTGGACGTATAGTAGATACCAATCAGGGGATAGATGAACCTAGATCATTTTCCCAGGCTCACCAACGTGGCCCAGGAGGCTGAGACTCCCTTGATGGCCTTCCAAGGAACCCCTCTCTCCTTAAATGACAAACCAGTCACGACAGCCACCACACTCAGCGACACCACGGTAAGAGTCAGATTGCGCATGGCGCGCCTCATCCGCGGCGCCGTTATCCTAGCCACCTGTTCCCTGAACGCAACAGGATCAATCCCCTTCGGAAATGGAGTATCCGGCACCTTCTCACCCAGAAACTATACACATCCATCATAAGCAGGTCAACAAACAGCACCCAAATACCCCCCACACAAAAGGGAAGGAATACTTAGAAACAAACATACCTCACACAAACTCCCCCACCCATCCTCAACCTCCCACTCCAACAACCTCCCCTTATCCCCCACTATCATCCCCCTAACCATATTGCAATGATCCCGATAAACCCACTTCCCATTCCTCATAATCCCCTCCTTCGCAGACCCCACCCTCAAACTCCTGAAAAACCCAGAATACCCATACGTGAAATAAAACTCCCACAACCAAAACCTCTCTGCATTGAACAACTTCACAAACCACGCCATCCAACTATCTTCTATATCGCTCACCACCGTCTTCATAATACTTCTATGCCACGCATCCAGATCGCTTCGAGTATACAATATCACTTTCGCCTCCGGATACGCCTCAATCAACTCTGCCGCAAACATGGCAGGCACCGAGTCCAACACCGCATCGTGATCGCCCAGGAGAGCGTCGACTTCTGCTTGCGTTATTTGGACGTCGACGTCAGCGGCCCCGGCGTATTTGCGTCGTGCGAGATTAGCCCATTCTTGGATGTAGCCCCCGTTGGACTCGGAGACCAGCGTCCAGCCGTGGTAGGGCTTGTAGTTGAGTTCTTGCAGTGCATGGCTGAGACTTTCTGTTGCAGAGCGAGGGAGGCCTGCGCAGATGAGGTGGAGGGGGCGTGTGCGTGTTCGGGGTGGGGGTTGGGGGTAGCTGTAGAGGGTGGATTTGATGATGTTCATTGTTATGGTGGTTTGATTGGGGTGGGTTGGAGTGGATGATGGGTGGGATGGTGTCTGCTTTATTAGGGAGCATATGGTCAACTGCGAATGTAGGACAAGGCTGATGGAGGAGTTCGGCTCAGCTTCTCTATTTGGAATTCAGTTGGCTTTGATTGTGATTGGGGTGGAGCTTAGCTCTTTAGGGTGTGATTTGTAGAGTGTGTTGTTTAGTGCTTACGAGGTTACCTAAGCTCTTTGGGTAGGGGTAAAGAAGGCTGTCTTTGGTTCTTGTCTCATCGTCAGCCTATCGCCTGTCAGTTTCCAATAGCAAGGCTCTTTTGCTGGTCAGGCTGATGAAATCAGGATGATTGCAGTACTTCTTTCTAATACTCTTTTACTGACTCTGACTTGGAAACTTGCTTGTCTCCTCCTTTGAAAAGGTCCAATCTCATCAACCTAAACAGAATATATGTCAAATAATCATACCGACATTTTGATCTTCTCTTGGAGAGTAAGTTTCAGATCTAACTTATTAGGAGAATATAGCTGATTTATACTCAATGAATAGACTTAGTAGCAGGAGAAAGAAAACCCAGGCACTACTCTTACTTACATATAAAGTATATTTGGGTGTAAAGTCTTTTTTGTATATAACTTGGCGCTCTGCAGTGCTGGGTGTGGTTTCCTCTAAAGCCTCATCCTGCATCCTGATTGACAGAGAAGTGGTATGGCTTGGACCAAGGGGTCGCTGGCTTAAATAAACGGTGAGCAGGGCTGTTTACTATTTAATGAATGCAGAATGGCTTGCATACATTAAGCAGACAGGCTACAGTAGTTTGGTTGGTTTGTCATGTTGAACGAAATAAAAGGATTAGCATAGATTGCGTTGGATGAAGGTGCATTTGCGCTGGCTCGAGCCCTCTTGTGTCGCGTAACTACTGACGCATTGGTAATGATTGACCCTGCGAAGACACCAGGAGACTTTGTGAATGGGAGGGACTCTGATCAATTCATTCAATCCTGCTTGTTTGACCTAACCAAATTCGCTATATAGAATGCTAGCGGTGTAGGTGGTTCACTCTTTAAGGAGGGAGTATAGCCCCAAATGATGTTGTGTTCTTTGTTTTCCATAGGGTTACTATGAAATAATGTATGGTACAGATAAGAAATATTGGTTGGCCAAATTGCAGTGAATAACGGTGTAGTCTTTATTCAAGTAATATGTGTGAATATAGAGGTATAACCCTTGAAGCATCGTAATTCACGACCTTTATTGCCTCCAAGTCACCATTCTACCAACTTCTATTAAATATTCCTAATTCCCTACCTGCCTGGTTCTTCCAATATAAATATGATCAACCTTGCCCGGGGAAACTTAGTCTAGAAAATATTTCAGTCTTTCAATTTATACTATATTTACAATATATGCTAATGGGCTGGAGACCTACTTATATATATTCCCAAGATAGTAGTATAACAGAGTCTAGTTCAGTAATATGTTCAACTGCCAAGCAAGGAAACCTCCGTTATCGACCATACGGAAGTGGACGAGGTAGTGTGGTCAAACTAGTACCGCCCTGGAGCGAACCGGAGCTGTGGTGCGGAGAGTGCTCTGCTGACTATAGAAATTGAGGCCGGAGGCCGACTACTAAGGCTTCCCAACGGAGAGGAAACCCTTATCATTCCGAAGAAGGTTATAGTGCAAAGCCGCAGCTGCGGAAAAGTGGATGACTGAAAACAACTACCTTATAGGGGACATGGTGACCCCAAAGCTATACAACACCATAGCGTTATTACCTTACACGTGGAAGGATATTTTAGACCACTTATGAATACGATGCATCTTATATGAAATTATGAGGGAAACCGGCCACCTAGGCCGCAGTAGCCGACCCGATGTAACAGTGAAACCCTGACTGCATGTTCCGCCAGGTGATGTACTCATCACATCATGCTTGCACAAATTTTTCACTGATGAGCCTGAAAGTGGCACCTATTAGCTATCCAGAGCAGACAGAGCGACAAATTCTCGTGACGTGTCTTTAAGCTGACTCCTATGCTTGGTTATGGAATATTGCCCAAAGGACTATCTTCTCGATTACCTTTCGCGAGGAATACTATACCATCAATCTGCAAAAATGCACTCCAGTAATACCAGAATCCGTGTTGTACTAGAGCGGCTGTTCAAGACCATACTGGAATGGAGAAAACAGGTGCCTAAGGATGGACATGTCAATATTCGCAGCCTGCAGGATGTCGAACATGTGGTTCAATTTAATTTCGAACACTTGGATAATGCGGACTCTGACCTGGCAATGGTTCCTCCTGTTTTGTTCAAGCCGATGGATTTGGCGGATTTGAAGAAATATCCAGTCGATCCAGAGCTGGCACGAAAATTCCCTGACATTGATCAGAACTATAGTAACAGGAACTTCCCCATTGAACCGGTAGATCGTGTACGTCACGTATCTGCACTCATCGAAGACCGCACTACTCGCGAGGCCCGGTTTCAGCAGGGTCTCCAGGGTGTGGAGTAAGTTTCTCTCTACCTACCGGGTGAAACTAAAAACCATTTCTGAAAACATTCCATATCAGAGCTCCAGAAAGCACGTTTTGGCTAGAAGCCATACTAGCCTACAATTACAGTAATAACGGTTGGTGGACGGCCGAGTGTCTGGTAGAGCCACGCCCCGACAATGGTAAGCCTTATCCACACCTAGCCTTTCACATTCTAGACGATAAGGAGGGTTGGGAAGACGCCATCCTGTATTGCGAACTGTGCGCGATTGTCGAGGCGATGAAAGGCCGTGCGAATCAACGCCTGGTGGATTCTGAAAGCGTGCGGGAGGAACTTGACGAGTGTGACGGTAGAGGCAAAGAAGTGTACCCATATCTCTTTGATAATGAAGAGAATTTTCCTGTACTTATGGTGTCATGCGTCCTACCTCAACATGCTAGACTCTTCATGGCATGTATGAGCCAGCGGAAGCTAGTGATCAGACAATCCAAGCTATACAGCTTTGAATGGAAGAACGAGGCACCGGTGGACCTGTTTGCTCGCGTGTTTTTAAGCAAGCCTTTGGTGCCACGGATCTAGGATTGGCAAGCAACACTAAGGATTGATACCTAATTGAGCATCCATCAATACTGAATAAAGACAGCGCCGGGGTCCGCGAAAGACAATCACTGTTGGGGCATATCTCTCCATCTGCTCTCCAGATACATGCCATAATATTATTCATGGTCTAAAGCCAATTTCAGATTCCTATTTGAAATATTGATAACCGACATGGGTGGCTTTGAAAGGGTTCTCGCAGCTATATGTCCTAGTATCTTGGTTATAGCCGAATCAACCCATTTACTTCTATCAACTTCATTAAATAACACGATATATGCTTCGTAGTGCGTAGAGTTCTGTTTCGCGATTAGATCCATTAAACGTCATCGGCATTTGCAACAACTTGAGACCTTGCATCTTATTTACATGTATCATAGTTAGGAGCAGAAATCATGTAGGAGACGAAAGCTTGTACCGAAAATGCTTTCTTCGCATCAGCTGCATTGTTCGGGGAGCCCAGCCAAGACAGCCGAGACAATTGATGCAGAATCCGCGGCAGGCATGGATCGTCAGTCTGATAGCACTCGGGATTTCCGATCCTATTACGATGTTGCCATGTAATTTTAAATTATGATAGACCGTGCATCGGCCGCTTAGTAACAGCTTGTCCATCCAGGCCCCGCAATCATGAGAGAATACTACTGTGTAGGTCTGTCTTGGCGGAAGACATAATTGTCGTGATTGACATATCTATCCCATTATGTTCATTTCCAGGCTAGGGCCTACAGAAACCAAGTTAGCCAGACCAGTGCAGATATCTTGTAGATCTCGGCACATTTCGGATTTCAGCATTTGTACCGAGGATCTTCGCTACCGATAATCGAAGGCGCATTAGCTTGCAGCTAACGTGAGTTCGTCACACAACATAACGGTTCCATGATAGACCAGGAACAAGATTATTTTCTGGGCTTTACTTCGATGATAGGCTAACAAGTCGACTTCAATCGAACTTCCGAATGACGGATCCCGCAGCGACAGGAGGCAGAGTACCGGAATCATCCCCACATTCATACTGTTGATAACTTGCTTGACAGGAATGAGGGGTATTTCTGAAGGACTCTACCAAGCATTCTCATGTAGGCCATCAATACTACGGTCCTAGTGGTGCTAAACTAGTGTTAAAACTCGCCCGGACGAGCTGTTAGTGTACATTGTCCTCAGTCATCCTCTACCGAACCGATGGATCAGCGGGGATAGAAACAGACTGGGAAGGAAGCCCGTTCATCAGTCTCGGCACCACTGTCTTCATCGCTTCACCATACACCGATACACCGAAGCAATGTGTCTGCCCATACCTGGTGAAACCTTTCGCTTTGCCGGTCACGATATCTTTCCGACGCGCTCCTCATGCAGCGTAAAAGAAATCAGATGGGTGTTTCTTATCCAAAGTAAGCAATTCGTGTATTATTGTGCTGGTATTGGTGGCTCTGGTTATCTATGTTTGCCTGCCAAGCCACTATGAAAACATGGCGTTTGGTTGGTGAGACTCTAAGACCGGAGGAGATAATAAATGACACAATTTCAAGGGACTTTTTTCCTTCTTCTTTGACTGCTATGATAGGTAGCAATCCAATTAATCCGGTACCTGGGGGTCTATTACAGGTTGATAGTGAGAAAGGGGAACTCAACGCGTTCCCATAGGGTTTGCTGATCTTCGGAGGAAAGCCGGTTCTTCAGGCGGAAAATCCGTAATTCTCTACACATATTTACTCTGCTAGTCACTCACACCTCTTCTTGTAAGCTTATGATTGCCAGTCTTACTTGCCCCATTCAGAGGGCCCCCTCTATGTGATGGGCTGGCCTGGTTCCAGGATCCACACAGGAGGTAAGTATAAGAAAACTTGAACAGCAATCTGTTCTTATGCTCACTGCTGAGTTATACATAATGAATGACGAATAGCCAGCCGCAGCTCCATATGTGTCTTGAACATCTTGTATAATATTGATCTTCCCTTCTTTTTCACTTTTCTTACGACCAGTGCCTCAAATCCATGAACATGAAACTTCTTTACGGCGCGTTGCTCATAGCTCAGGCTGCAGCTGCAGCTAGCAGCCATGGGACCTTTGTATCCCCGGCAAACGACGTCAGGTTGAAGTTCCGTTACTGGCTCCCCGATGCCAGTGTAGATACCGATACAGTGGTGAAGGATATTGAAGAGGCTGGCGCAATAGGTGCTGGAGGGTTGGAGCTTCTCGGCCTCTACAACTATGGCGGTTCGTTGGCACCGCAGCCCGATGGTGCCAACTGGGCTACGTATGGCTTTGGAACACCCGCATTCAACACCATTTTTTGGCATCATTGCAGAGTGCAAAGGATACAGGAATGATCTTCGATTTTGCTCTCGGGCCAAGTCAGGGGCAGGGCGTTCCAGCCAAGACAACTGATGAGGGGCTTCATTGGGACTTGGTAGGAGACCTTTCAATGAATAAATTTGACATAATCTGATATTTCAAGGCACCATTCAATGTCAGTGTCCCATCTAATGGCACATACAACGGCCAAATCCCCGGTTGGGGAACTGGCGAGCTTGTTTCTCTGGTATCTGCGCGGGTCGTGAACACCTCTACGATCGTCAATCCCGCAAGCAGTCTCTTTTCCACTCCTGCAAACAATGCGACTCGCGTGATTTTGGCAACTGAATCGCTAGTAGATTATACGGATGTGGTCAGTGCCAATGGAATGGTGTCATTGTCATTCAATGTCAGCGAACATTATTCCTATCGTCTCTTTGCCTACTATCAGTACCAGGACCTTGTGAAGAACCTTGACATTTACGAGAACACTACAGGAAGCATTTTCGATAATGGCTCCTACACAGTCGATCACTTCAGCGCTCGTGGTGCTCAAACTACGATAGATTTCTGGGAAAACTACATCTTAAATGATACCGATATCAAGGCTCTTTTGGAAGAGGTGGGCCGCTATGGCTGGGAGGACAGCATCGAAATCAAGTCTAACATTTCCTGGTCACCTACCATTCCAGATATTTTTGAGCAGATCAACGGCTACCAGTTGCGCAAGTTTCTTCCTCTTGTGATGCATGGAAATAACAACCCCGGCGTGCAGCCGTCATACCCAGGTACTCTGAAATGCGTCTTGGACAGTGAAGATCAGGGTCAAGGCTACGTCAATGACTTTCGTGCTGCTTTAGAAAAGGGATATCAAAATTACTTGGACACGCTTTCTACCTGGCTAGAGGGATTGGGGTTAGGCTATTCAGCTCAGGTCTCCTACAATTTGCCACTCAACATGGAAGTGAGCATCAACCACGTGGTTGCTCCGGAATGTGAGAGTCTTGCATTCAACAATAACATTGATGGATACCGTCAGTTCTCGGGTGTCGCAAACCTCGCTCAGAAGAACGTAATCTCGAATGAGATGGGCGCCAATTTAGAGAAGGCATTTGCCCTTCCGCTCAGTGAACTACTCGGACATATTAATACGGCTTTTGCCGGTGGCGTTAATCAGATAGTGCTACACGGCCAGTCCTATACTGGTAACTATCATGAGACAACGTGGCCAGGGTACACATCTTTCTTTATGCTTTTTGCAGAGTCCTACTATAACAAGCAGCCTGCATGGGGCCATGGACTTTCGGACGCCATCGACTATGTCAGTCGGAATCAGTACATCTTGCAGGCTGGTCAGCCACGAACGGACATCGCCCTATACAATGGAGTTTCAATGACCGATCCCCAGCTTGAGACCATGTATCCCACCGACGACCTAATCAAGACAGGTTACACTTACACTTATCTTTCGCCTGCAAACTTCAATCTCTCACAAGCGTCTGTGTCAAACGGTCTTTTGGCCTCTGAGTCCCCTGCCTACAAAGCTATTGTTGTTACGAGCGATCAGAATGCCACTTTGGCTGGTGTCATGAAGCTTCAGCAATACGCTAATTCCGGACTACCTGTCATTCTCAGTGGTGGCTTTCCAGGATACTATCACAATGGTGAATTGACCGTTACTCCATTATCAGAGACGCAGGAACACTACAGAAATCCCTCTTCATATTGCTGCGAACCAAACGGTCGCTTTTGCCTTTAGCAACGGATTGTGGTCTGAAATCGAGACCCCGTATTTTCATGCCTTACGCGTTCCTTCAAACGTCCTTGGATATAATTACAGCACCTCTGGTGGTCTCCTGCTCCACACATCCACCGATCCCTGCAATGACTGCATTTTTCAACTCAGCAACGGAACTGCCTTTGACCTCTCCCTCAACTCCACCTCTCTTACTTCTCATTTACGCAACTGGACGCTCATTGCAGAACACTGGGAAGCCCCAAGCAATATATCAGACGCCGCCATCCAAGCCGTGAAGCGGAACACAACTCACCACCTCGAAACTCTAGTCTCCTGGCTGGATATCCCAGGCCTTCAGAACGCCTCTGGTCTAGGCTACTACTCGACTTCCTTCTCCTGGCCTCCGAACTCTGCTGACAATGTTGATGGCGCATACCTCACCTTCCCCAAAATTGCCCAAGGCATCAAGGTGACTGTAAATGGCCATGACGTGGGATCTCTGGATTTTACCAACCCTAGCATTGATATTGGCCCATACCTCATCAGCGGTTCCAATGAAGTGACTGCCATTGTTCCCACGCTGATGTGGAATTATATTCGGAGTATTTACGATGAAATTGAGATATCTGGGATCGCGCCTCTACTGAGTGACCCTTTGCCCGATCGGGTGGATAATGGCTTGATCGGGGAAGTGAAGATCATTCCTTATATCATTTGTCGATATATGATCTGATCGATAATCCAGGACAGCTTCTACCTCACTTTGCATGGGGCCAAATCTTACATCAGTCTTGTCGTTCTGTCCCAGCCTTCTGTCCTGTAAAATACGGGTGATTCTGTCATTTAGCGTCCTTGGTTTTCCCGATACACAGTAAGATTTTTGAGGCACTTGTGGTCGGTTTGCTTTGTGACTTTTAGCGAGTATGAACAGTCTATCAGTGTGTACTGTGTTGAGCCACTGTAGAAGAGAGTGGCAGTGAATGGGCAATGGGGTCACCTGATATTCACTCACCAACCGATTGGGGAGGCAGAAGCGCCGGGCGTTTAGATCCCCTCCTTCCTCCTCTTCTTCTCCCTGCACTTTTCTTTTCTCATTCCCCTCGAACTTCATATACCCTCTCTCTTCCATCTTTGCTTATCCCTTCATTTTGCTCCGTCGCTTTTCTGCTTCTTGTCTTGTCGATTTCTTGTTCATAATGGAGGTTTTTATTCATAATGTCCCCGCTCAACTCTCCGATCAAGGCCTGATGAAGGAGATGGAGCCTATTCTAAAGCGCTTAGGCATCCTTGACTTCCTATGTGATAAGCCAAAGAGAAAAAGCATCGGGTTCCTTGTTTTTTATCGCCCTGAAGATGGAGAGCGGTTCCTGCTATTACATGGCCAGGAAGAAATACCGGGAACGATGAATACTCGCGGGAAACAACGACTTCGTTCTAAATTGAAAATCATGGGTGCCGATGTCTTCTGCTCACGTAGTAAGAAGGCACCGAGCAAATTTGCCATTCAGAGTCTTCAGCATATGGCTGAACAGCGAGTAAAAGACACCTTGCACAAGTATGAAGACAACAAGCATATTTCCTTCAGCCTACTGGGGTTCAGCTGTGGTTATTCTATGTTCCAAGGAGAGCACTTCGGGTATGTCCCAGAGGTGCAGTGGTCTGACACCGGCTTGATGAAGTTTATGAAGAGAGCCATCATCGTCAAATTGGATACCTCTAAGCACCACATCCGCATACCGCTCAGTACTGTCATTGAGCTCATATGGTCCCGGGACGGGAGTCTAACACTGACCTTATCAACCGTTCCGTACTTCTTTTCTCATGGGGGTTCTGATCCTTTGACTGTCGCATTTCAGATGCTCCAGCTTGTTTCTTCAAAATACCATGCAACGCCACCTTCCCGTTCGCGAATGTGCTCCCTAAGTACAGCCCACGCTGATGTGGCTGGGCAATGTCTTGTCTATCAATTTCGGGTCCCTTATGTTGATCTCATGAAGGATATCCATAACCTCAAGGAGTGGGAAATTCCCATTTTACGCTATGATATTCTGCCCATCAATGCACCATCAAGAGATGCCTTTCAAGTTCAACTCAAGGCTCTCATGGACGAATTGGCCACTTGCACTAGGAATAACTCTCTTCCCTTCGGTATTTTGTTCCAGTTGCAGGCTTTTGCATACAACGCCTATCTACTGCCACGCACAGTACAGAGTTTAACTCAAGAACTAGTCAAGGCTTATAAGGAAGACGCAGCAGCTCAGAGAAGACCTCTTTCAGTACTGGCTCTGAAGAAACTGTTCGACATGATCGACTGGCCTTCCCCTCACAGCAATCCAACTGACTATGAGGTTGGTGCTCTTATGGCAGCTCTGAAGCAAAACCAGAAAGATGTCTTGCAAGACTTGGCGGTTTCTGGAGACATGCTAGGTCCTTCTGAGAACTTGACTCCAATTTATAAGGTCATGATTACGCCCACGCGAGTTACTCTCCATGGACCGGAACTGGAGCCTAAAAATAGAATCTTGCGAAGATTCCCAAAGTACCATGACTTCTTCATTAGAGTGCAATTTTGTGACGAGAACGGTCAAGATCTTCACTTCAACCCTCAAGTCCACTACGATGATGTGTTTTCGAGATTCAAAAGTGTTCTTACCCGCGGCATCCAGATTGCTGGGCGAACTTATTCGTTTTTGGGATGGTCGCACTCGTCACTGAGATCACATGCCGTCTGGGTAAGTAGAGTACCTAAATGCAGAAATTTCTCCATAACAGCTAATATTCTTTCGATATAGTTTTCCTCTCCATTTGTTGACGAATCCGGTCAATTTCAAACTCACTTTAGCATCATCAAGGCCCTTGGTGACTTCAGCAAAATTCAGTCACCTGCTAGGTGTGCCGCCAGAATTGGTCAAGCCTTTACAGATACTCCTTATGCTATATCTCTGTCTGAATATGACATAAATGTCTCAGAGGTAGCAGATGTGACATCTAATGATGGCAAGCGGGTATTCAGTGATGGAGTAGGGACCCTCTCATGGGATGTCGCAGAGTCCATATGGCATCACATACCGGAGAAGAAAGGATTTCCTACCTGCTTCCAGGTCCGACTAGGCGGTGCAAAGGGCATGCTCGCTGTTGATGGTCGGCTTTCGGGCTTTCAAGTCAACATTCGACCTTCCATGATCAAATTTCACGGAGACATGAAAGACCTTGAGATCTGCGATATGGCGGCTAAACCTATGGGGCTGGTATTGAATCGACAAATGATCAAGATTCTGGAGGATATGGGAACACCAGATGAATGGTTCATCACGTTGCAAGATGCAGCACTAACCAAGCTTCGTAGTGTCACCGCTAGCGCTCATAATTCAGAAGTCTTCATTAAAAAACAGGCGGTCGGCGACAGCATAGGCCTCTACAGGCTCTTCCGTCATTGCCATCTGCGTGATCTTGACTATAGGAAAGAGCCTTTTATTCGTTCGGTCATCGAAGCTGTTGTTCTCAAAGAGTTGCGTCTCTTGAAACACAAAGCGCGCATCCCTGTTTTTAAGGGCATCACTTTATTTGGTGTTATGGACGAGACGGGATTTCTCGAAGCTGAACAAGTTTACGTGACTTATCAACCTATAGAAGGAAGACATGCGCCGCCTCCTAACGCTGGGACGATTTTGGTGACTCGCTCGCCAGCTTTGCATGATGGAGACATTCAATATGCACAGAACGTCATTCCTCCTGACGACCATCCCTTGGCGGAGCTCACGAACTGCATTGTGTTCAGTAGTAAGGGATATCGCGATCTACCAAGTCAACTTAGCGGGGGCGACCTCGACGGCGACATATTTAACGTCATATGGGATACTGATGCGTATCCCGTCCGGACATTTGCGCCCGCGGATTATCCTCGTGTAAGCCCAGTCGACATCGGGCGTCCAGTGGAGCGCGAAGATATGGCGCAATTCTTCCTAGATTTCATGAAAACCGATCATCTTGGGATGATCGCCACAAGGCATATGATCATGGCTGACCAGGAAGAGGAGGGAACATCCCACCCAGTCTGCAGGCAGCTGGCACAATTGCACTCTACGGCGGTTGACTTCTCTAAGACGGGTATTCCAGTTCAACTGGGTGACATTCCTAAAGGGAACCCTTTCAGGCCTGACTTGTACGTTGCCAAATCTTCGCATACTCTATCTTTCGCATATTGAACGCTGACAACTGCACTAGTATGGCACCAGGCCCAGTTGCACGCATCCACAATAAGTCAGAAATTGAGCTGGAGGAATATGTTATTCAGGCCGCATACGATGAGGATAATGACCTGGAGCCGCTCCGCAGGTACTACAGATCAGACAAGATATTGGGCAAGCTTTATAGGGGTATTGATGAACGACACATCTGGCAGAATGACATCCGAAGCAAAGTCCAGCCCAACGAAGATGAATTTTGGAACGAGTTTTTATGGTCTACACTTGAGCGCTGTAATAAACTAGGAGATTTGTCATGGGAACGTTGGCTGGATGAAGCCCGACACATTCGTTTAAGGTATGTCCAGAAACCCTAGTGCCCGAGGCTGACTGACAGTGGCTTCAGATACGAAGAGGCCGTGTTTTCGGCACGAAACAATTACTCCGAGCACCCAATCGAGCCACTGAGTGAGCTAGAAGTGTTCACTGGGTCTGTCCTGAATAAAGGGGGTGTGCAGACCCGTCGGCAGCGTGATCAATCCAACAAACTCGCCGACGAATTCGATCGCATCTCTGCTTGGATTGTGGGGCAGATGCGCGAGGGAAGCTCATCCGAGTCACCAATAACCAGTATGTCGGATCAATTCAAACCTCTGGAATTTTGCCTCGCCTGCATCCATGTCGGTGGTGAGAGCGACAAAGATCCCGCCCGCCGTCGTAGAGAAGTGTATGGTGAGATTAAGAGCTTCCGTGTGGTTGCAGCGTGTGCGTTGTTGTTTGAGCTCGAACTCTTTGAGAAGGGTAAAAAGCGGAGGTTTTAACAGGATGCATACTTGTGCATATGTTCGCCTGCTTATGATGTTATTATGCTTGGGAAGGTAGGACGGCCATCTTGAATGTTTAGATGTATCCAAAGGAATCCACTGAATTTGTATTTACTCTGTACCACCTGCAAACCATCAACCAAGTACACGTGGGTTCATCCTTGCATATACGAGCCAGCCCCATATTGATGTAACACGCTGTCTCAAACACCTAGAAAACACCTGAGACGTTAACCTCCTGCATCTAGTAACAACAACAACCATGGATATTCTCCTACTGGATAGCCAAGATAGCCTCGAACCCCTGGAAAGTTCTATCGGGTCCGAAAAGAATCACCTTTTAGTGGCCGCACATCCAGTGTAAATATGAAGTAGTCCTTAATTCCCGACTGACCACACCATCTCGAACCTTACCTGCTTGTCTACCTAAGCCAAGAAAACATCAGTTGTTGCTTCTGCTCGCGTACTAAAGCCCCTATATCCCTCCATCATCTACCCACTCGCCGCATACATTATATCTCTAACCCTCAATCATCGAAAATACTCTACTTTAAAGATCCCCATCTACATAACCATAATCATCTCGTTACCTCATCGCCTCAGGCCCCATTCTCATCTGATCTGATATGATATGATGCGATATGATATGATGCGATATGATACGATATGATATGATACAATCTCATCATATCTATATCTGACGTCGACGCGTCACCAGCGCGTCCATCTATTGGCCTGTCAGGCAAAGTGGATTTTCGCGATTGTTTCAACATCTCGGACGTTTGGGGGGAGGTGATTGGGTACCTCCATTTGCTTGAGTTTTGGGTGGGAGTGGAACAGGTTACGGCTTGGTGATGGCTGGGTGATTACTACTAGTGGTTGTGAGGTATGTCATTAGAGGGAAGTGCGGTGATGAGTTATATGCGAAGGCTGACATCATCTATGTAGGTATGTTTGCATGGTTTGGAAATGAATGTTCGATTGTAAAGGACTAGTCTGATGCTTCTGTATGTATATATGCTGCCGTGTCAATATATGCCTCGTGACCCATCATCCATAATTAAGTGTCTAACCAATAAATGCAGAGTAATTAAGCTAGGTCGATGTGTATGTGAACCGAAAGAAAGAAAGAAAACATGAGGGGAAATAGTGCAAGTATTAGGCAGAAATGTGACTTCTTATATACCTGACTCGTATGGCCCAGCAAGACCCCGGTACTGACGTCCGTAGGGATTCACCTTGGCATACTCGTCCCACGCATCACATGTGTTCACCAGCAAATCTTCGCTGAAGAATGTGTTGAACTCACTCTGTCGCTCGACAACCTGCTGCGCGAACCCTTCTGTTGCATGGAATCCAATGTGGCAGTGGATAAGCCATACACCCGGATTGTCAGCAGGGAAGCCAATAACCATATGGCCGCCACCACCAGTCGCGGAACTATCAGCGACCATGAGTGCAGTGTCGCGGCGGGGTGGGTTTTTCGTCTTGAGCGTGACATTCTGTGGGCTGAATTGGCCGAAACCCTGAGCAAGGAGATAGAAATCGTGCCCTTCAATTAAGAGTTAGTGGGTTCACATGCTATGTTCGGCCATGGGTTTACTTACCATGCAGATGAATCGGGTGAGGAACAGGAAGATCTGTCTGGACAACCAAAACGGTCCATTTATTCGCGATTGCAGCCTCTATCACTCCCTGGCTTGCTTCCCAGTCCATCTTGTCGGGATCTTCGAAGGTTTGCTGTAGTGTGGGATCCTTCCACGAGATATTGAGAGCGTTGCCTCCCATTGTCCACAGATACAAAGGAACATCGCCGAATGGACTGAAGTCCACGTCTGACTCGTGCATCTCGGCACCACCAATATCTGCATCAAGGGCAAGCCACGGGACAAGTTCGTCTAATGAGAAATCCAGGCACTGGAAGTCGTCACCGTAATCCCACTTTGTGCTCGTGGGCTCGTTGTTGTTGGAGGCACCTTTATAGTGGAGAATTCCTTTGATATTGTCTGGATTCGAATTGTCACTGCAGAATGACTGCGGGATTGCTCGGATCCAGTAGTTGTCCGGAGCTTGATTTGCTGTCACGATAATATCATACCGTTGTCCCATGCCAATAGGCACATTGTTCGTTGTGAATGGTACAATAGGAACAAAATCGCTAGCAATGACGGTAAGATCGTGGTTGTCGATCGAGAACTTGAAATGGGTATGCATGGCTGCATTAACAAGGCGAATCCGGTATTTCTGTCCTGGTGCAAATTCTGTCTGGAATCTACGACCAACGGTTTGGTTATCTCCGGTAACCCAAATGTTGCTCCCGTTAATAAGGCCTGTCTGAAAATGAGGCGGCCCCTGACTCTCGAGTACAGATTGATACATCTCGTCGACTGTTTGATGCGACCAGTCATTGAGAAATACCACACCCAAGTCGTGGTCATACTCTGCTGTCGCAGGGCCGTGAATCACAATGCCCCCAAAGACGCCTTCCCATGCCTGAAGAGAAAAGTGCGAGTGATACCAACTCGACCCGTATTGTTCGGCTCTCCAGACGTAGGTATAACTGGAGTTTGGGGGAACAGGGCACTGCGTTAACGCTGCTACTCCATCCATCTGGTTGTTGTACAGCTGTCGAATTCCGTGGAAATGGATGGCCGTACCATTATTTTCCATACGATTTGTAACATGAACTTTGACAGTGTCGCCCCAGTTTGCCTCAATAGTAGGCCCTGGAAATTGGCCGTTGACCAGAAGCACTGGTCTCTCGATTCCATCAAGAGCAGCGGTCGTGTTGACGATGTCAAACCAATATTCACGCACAACATTCGTCTGTGGCACGGTTTCATAGTAATTCGTGTTAAGGTCGTATCCCTGCCATGGAGTATTGGGCGACTGCGAAGAGTTGCCTTGCATATCTCTCAGTTTGGGGGCAGATTGGGAAAGATGCGGAGTAGCATGTTTGATTGGACTGCAGAAAACCAGTGGGGCTAGGAGCCCAAGGAGTAGCAAAAAGATTATCATGATGTGCCGCTAGTGCTCAGTAGCGCAAGATTGAAAGAACCAAGTCAAGGCAACGATCTACGCGGATCGCCAGCTTCTTGCCGTGTCTTTGTCCATGATGGACCAGTGGTTTATATACACTCTGAACCCAGTCTTGCTAGTATTCTCAATTACCTTTTTCGCTTTTTTCAGGCCTGTAGCTGCAGGAGTCATTTGGTCCTGTTAGGCTGGGATGTTGCCTCCACGATGATCCAAGGGGGCTGTATCGCCCGGGATTGCCTTGTCCGTGAGAGTTCACCAGATGTCGGATCTACTGCACAGCCTAATGCAGATAATCCTCCAGCTGTACGAGCCCCCACCCAGATGAATCGGACGGGACATCAAATGAACGGAGCAATCAAGTAACGATTCGAGGTCCACCAGTGTAGCTGCACCATGTGCTTGAGATGACACATGTGAGGGAGCTAGACTGAGCCGCAACATCCGATACAGTATGATTTGCTGGGATTCGTATTGAACACATCACACTTGGGATTGGCTTCCTTCAGGGAATGGCTATGCCTGACTATCAGCCCGATAGATTTCAAGAGGGATCAGGGATCCCATCCCAGGGCGTCTCACCTGCCAGTCGCTTTGGTCGCATCGACAATCAACTGACCGACTAGGCTCTGTACTTGAGGCCATCCCCACCTACTTGAAATGAGCGTAGTTCCATTTAGCGAGTAATGACTATAGTGACAGGTACTATAGTATCAGTCATCGCTCGGATCCCGAACAGCTCATCCCAGCAGAAGGGGCGCACATGGCGTACTCCAGAGCCAACCGATCTAGCTTACAATTCGTAAAACCTGTCCAATCCCACACTCGAATCCCACCAACACATGGATTGCCTGAGTCTGGTACCGATCGTGTTAGCTTGGGGCTGGCTGACCGCTAGTCGCCAAATTAGATCGTATAGCCTCCGCTCAGGCACACCCACAGGCAGCTCGACGTATCAGATCATTCCCGTCAAGCTGGTAGCTCCAATCTTCGAGCAATGAAATGTCCCAAGTTAATAAAGATAAGGCTGATAATAATTATAGTCGGATCGTCCCCCAGATGCGCACTAGACAATATCAGGAGAAACACTGTTTAAATCTGCGACAATAGCTCTGACTGTTCTCTTGTTGTTCAACTTAGGCCACCCGCCCAAGGCAAGGCTTTGCAAGTTCATTGCCTCGAATGCCTGGGTGAGTCCCCATTCCAGAAGAGGTCAGAGGGTACTCTGCAGCTCGGCTATTTTCGCATCATCCGAGCCAAGCAGCGGTGGCAGTCCAACCGCAAGTGGTAAATATTCTCCCAACTCTGTGATGCTGCAGCCACCATAAGAGACGTGGGCGGAAAAAGCAAACACGGCTCGGCCCCTCTCGGGTCTGCTCGACTTTCTTACAGATCCCACAAAAGCATCAATCTCCAAGCCATGCGCCTACTCATATCCACGTTTGGAATGATTGCGGTCAGGCGCACTCTAGTATGACACCTCAACAAGCATTATCGCTTGTGGATTAATTCTCCAGGTCTTCCGTCATTGGTCTCAGCTTTACCGATGGCAAGTCACGGCATAAGACGATGCCAGTGCTTTTCGACTCAGTGAAAAATCACCAAAAAGCCAAATAATTATCAAACTAAATTCTTACCAAAGCTTGACTATGAGAGGTGACAAATTCTATCGGTCTTCGAAAATTGAGCTATTTGAACTCGGCAACCAATAATTCGTTCAGAAAGCCGAGAGGACCCAGGTTGGTTTGGCACGCGATCGCAGGCTTTGAGCAGGGACGGCTCACCAAGGCTGCTTGAGCTCCTGGGATGCAGAAGGACCATGGGAAGACGAACACAGGTCAGTGAGTAAGTAATCCTCTCATTCAAGCTATTATGTCAGATGTTCGAGCCCTGTGGCTTGGACTTAGCTCTCGTGTAATGTTCTAATTATGACAATAATCTGAAGTGAGACCCGCCCACCGGCCCATAAGCCGAGTAAACTTGTTCCGATATCTTCGATGTGAGTTTCAAACCAGCCTGCCTGATGCTGTTCACCGCACTACCACGTGCGTTTTTCAGCCTTCAAGGGCTGTCCGACTTCACAGCGCGTGCCTTGATGATGGCTCCCTATCAAACCGGCCCATGCTAGACTTAACGTCATGGGCTCCTAGTTAGTCATGCTACTTAGACTGAACCTCAGCCGGGATATCCTTATTGCCAACATGTCCCATTGAGCCGAGACATCTGCGCCCAGAAGAGAAATGGCACATGCGCGGGGCACACAGTGGGAGTCTAAGCGAGGTGTATGAACATAACTTGATGGCGAAGACACGAGGTACCAGATACCAGGGGTAACCCTGAACGCCGAGATCGAGCAAGGAGTCACAGGCAACTTTCTTCAAATCCAACAGGTTAGAGCCATAATCAAATGTGATCTGAAGGTATTTTCCATGAAGCGACACCGATATTCTCCGGTTCATTCTACCGCTCCGACAAATTGTGTGTTTGGGATGACGATGACGCCTAAAGCATTCGAGAAACTTGTGCCTAATTGGTAGGTACTGTGGCAGGCAATTTTCACATTGCAGCAGATGAGACATCACGTTGATGCAACGACTGAAGACCGAGAAAGTACGTGAGATAATACCATGCAAACATGAAGGCAGAGGCAAATGACTTGGTTGGAGTGAATTGCGATGGATGTCTTTTGAGAACGTTGCAGTTCGCCAACATCTACAACCGGAAGCCGCGATGCCGAGCTCGGCCGATTATCCAGCCCTTCTCCTCCTTCTTCTGTCCACACATTTGCGAGAATCGTTAGTTGCTCGTTAATCACGCATGGCTTTTCCTGGAACATAGCCTCCGTGTTCTTTGTCCAATGTCCGCGTTGAGTTAGCCGACTTCCTGGCGTTCCCATGACTCTTGATGCCCACAATGGCTTATGCCTGTCTCTGGTCAGAGTCTTCTCCGTCTTTGAAAGACTGGTTATGCCTTCCCTCGGCAGCCTGGGCTCATCAGTGAGCCAGTGAATGCGAATATTGTGGGAGGATGCATTGATGTAGACTATAACCCATCCGCAAAGTTTCGGTATGGGTTACTCGTACTGGTCTCAGTCTACGTGGACCAACCGGGTGAAACACCCTGTTCAAGTGAAGTATAATTCAAGCCCTTACCTTGGCCTCTGTTGCATTCGGCAGCCGAACTTCCTTCTTTGAAGAGACCTGTGCTTATGACGCTTTTCAAAGGTCGGGATCAGGCGCACAGCAACACAATCATGAAGTAATTGGCGGCGCTCAGTTTCCAGGGCAAGACTGCTGAGATTTGAGCATCCTCTCTTGCACACGAGTCGAAGGATATACCGGTCACAATGTCCTTATACCCATGTAGTGATGCTCATAGCCCGATATCTGCTTGGGAAGGAACAGCCATGTTTCTTACTACGACTATAAGGAAAGAGATGCTGTACCTTTCAGCTGAAAAAATACCCGAGACCAGTGATGAGACCGGGCACAGCTCCAAGTTCTGCCATCACGACGAGCGGCTCGGAAAGGCTCCCGTGTCTTACGGTCGGCATCGTGGTTCATCGGAGAATACATCTCACATGTAACCAGTAGTTTCTGTTCCTGCTGTGTTACCTGCACTATGGTATGCGCCAGGCCTGCAAGCCTACGGAGATTAGTATGGAAACTACGATCGGAGTTTGTCAACCTGCTATCCGACGGCTGCAGGTACATCGGGCTGACGCCATCGCACGCCTCCAAGGCGCAATAGCGCCCACGTTGATATACAAGCTGGACAATCGTCAATTATAGATGAACTCAGCTACTTCGAGTATTCTATATTTCGATTTACAAATATTCCAATCGCGGATTTGTGATATACATTGTAAGCGCTCATGGATAACCACCATGGTCGGGAAGCTGCACCTCCGTGCTCCCAGTGTCGGTCGCGCAAAGTAAGCCTCCATTGAATACGTTTGCTTTTCACCCCGCACCTATTCTTAGTCGTTAAGGCATTCTAGGTTCGCTGCGACCGTAAAAAGTATACTTGTGGGAATTGCGAGAGGCTAAAGCATGCATGCTCCTATGAAAGGGATAACCCATCCCCCGGGCGCCCGAGGCATGACGGTGGCCATCCCGGAAGACATCGTGGAACTCGGGCGTGCATCTATTGCCGTCTTCAAAAAGCCCGATGTTCAGGTGAGACGCCACAGTGCAATAACTGTCACCGGCGCCATCGGGAATGCCAATATCCAGCCTTTAGAGGAGCTCGCCAATTATCTCAAGATCGAGATGGAGAATTGATAGTCAAGTCTTCCACTAGCTTGGTCTCCCTGAATGAGCTGCAACAAGGACTGTATGACGGTCATTATGAGCGTGTTATAGTTGATCGCGCCGCTGATTTCTATCAGAGTTTACCCTGTAAAGGACGGTGCGGAGTTAGATGGAGTCCTTGATGACTATTTCTTGCACCTGTATCCCTTGCCTTCCTACAGCTTCCTTCACGAGCCCTCGATTCGGCGAATGTGTGCTGCCCGAACGCTCGAGCCAAGTCTCGTGTTATCTATGTGCGCCTTGGTCAAACTAAGGTGTAGACCGGCTGGGTCTCAGCCTTCCGAAAGCGTTTTGTTGATTGAACTTTCGGAAAAGAGGATCTGGGACATGATCGAGACGCCTTCAATATTCAGATTGCAGGCACTCTTCTTGATTATCCAGTATCATGCCGAAGTTGGCCGGTTCGAAAGGGCCTTCATGATGGCTTCCATTGCGAGCCGCCATGTGACTGCACTCCAGCTGAAGCATGAAAGCCCACACCTCAGCTTTGTCACTCAGGAGATTCGGCGGAGAGCTGCTTGGACGATGGCACTACTAGATGGTTACTTTTCTGTAGGGCTTCCCGGCTACAGCACGATAAATTATGAAGAGATATACCAGCAATATCCGTGTCGTGAAGAGGAATTTGGCTCAACGGATCCTGACACAATAAGGGGCCCTTCCACCGCTCGAGTTGAAGACAAAACTCACTGCAGCATGCTGGAGCTGATACTGCGGATCTCCAGGGTGCGCAGAGATATCATGCGCTTCACCAGACAGTTGGCCCTGTTGGAGCAGCCTCTCAAAGAGTTTCAGGGTATTGTGCAAGGATTTCAAATGAACCTCACCCAGCTTCAGGAAAGAATAGCGTCCATGGTGGGTTCTTCAGCCACTGGATCCACAATCCAGCCAAAGTTCCGTTGGGTTGTGAGGTCCTTAGAGATCCAACTCGCTTGGCGCCAGGCACACTGTGACTTGTTTCGCCTCTTCCTTCTCGGGCATCCCAATGCGGCTCCTGATGTAGTATTGCGTCCCTTGGGATCAAGCACCTATGCTAGCCAAGCCCAGGAAATATGTCAGGAACACAGTGACTGGATAATAGAATCCATTAAGAAGGTTCGAAAGATGAATCTCCAGGTCCTCTTCTCATTTGATATTGCGAGATGCGCTTATCAGGCTGCACGCCTCAATCTCTTTCTCGCTCATATGGCCAACGCGCGGCCGCAGCTAACATCAGAATCCGCCGTTTCTAATGCTGCAGAATGCCTAGCTTTTCTCAAGGAAAGATTTGTATCGTCTGCTCATGCTCAGCGGATGATCTCAGACCTTAGCCTACTGATCGGAGCCTACGAGACGCGTGATGGGCATTTTGGAGCGGCGATGGCGCTTGATTCGTTACGGTTTTCTGGGGATGCAGTTGAGAAGCACAAACAACTATCGGCACACAGTCTTATTCATCAGGCTAATTTCGTGGATGATAGCTATCTCTATGAATTGTGAGATCTTCTATCTGAGCGCGTGAACGTGATACTTCAGATGAGGCGCGCTCAGACAAATCACTACCACGTGCCAGTCTCGGAGGACCTCCGCTGCGGGGATCTATTGCGGGGTTCCCTACGTCGCACAGAGTACTTCACTCACACAAAACTCGCTATGTTGAAGGAGCATAATCTCAACAATTGTTCAGTCATACAGCCACCATGGTTCTATCTAAGCCCGAGAACAAGCACGTCCTGAAGGCCTTTGACCTCACCGGCAAGGTTGCTGCCATTACAGGTACCTTCCCCGGAGAGCAACATTAACAGCTTCTAACTGATCGCAGGCGGTGCCCGGGGTATTGGACTTGAGGTTTCGAGGGCCCTCGCAGAAGCTGGTGCCAACGTAAGATGAAGTGTTCTACCAAACAGCTTTGTGCTGACTATTGCAGGTGGCCTTGATCTACAACTCGTCTAAAGCGGCAGAAGCCATTGCCGAAGAGATCGGTACCCAGAATAACGTGAAATCCGCTGCCTATAAGGCGGACGTTGGAAATCAGGAGGATATTGAAAGGGTAATCCAACAAATCGCCTCAGACTTTGGCAAGCTCGATATTATCGTTGTGAATTCGGGAGTTACTTCCAATATTGCGGCGGAAGACTACACCACGGAACAATGGCGTGACATCATGAAAGTGAATCTAGATGGCGCGTTTTATAGCGCACAGGCGGCTTCTCGGATCTTCAAGCAACAAGGACATGGAAATGTCATTTTCACGGCCTCTGTCAGTGCAACATTGGTGAATGTGCCTCAGAAGCAAGCAGCGGTAGGTTGTCTCTTACTTTGATTTTAAGGTGTGTATTAATCAGCATGGTCCAGTACAATGCCTCCAAAGCCGGGGTCGTGCAGCTGGCAAAATGTCTGTCTGTTGAATGGGTTGACTTTTGCCGGGTCAACTGCGTTTCCCCGGGGTTCATAGCCACGGAAATCCTCGATATCCACCCTCTGGAATGGCGCGAGAAATGGAACGAAATGGTCCCGGCTAAGCGAATGGCTGATGCCTATGAACTCAAAGGAGTAAGTTAGCTTCTGCCTTGTGACTTTTCACTACCTCCTTATCCGAAACGGTGAAAAGTTGCTAATGTTTCAGGCCTATGTGTTTTGCGCTTCCGATGCCTCGAGCTATATGACTGGAGCCAACCTCGTGATTGATGGCGGCTACACGCTGCCTTAGGCATGACTCTTGCAGCCTAGCGTCCACGTTGTGTTGGAGTCTTTCGACAGCAAATGACGCAAATGGGTATGAATATGTAAGATGCGGTAGGATTGTAGTCACACTCGAGAATATGTTTCACAGACGGATGATCGGTCCACGCGAACACGAGGTCTATTGTAGTAAGCGAGACGCATGAGAAGCCTGCAAGGCTTCCTTCCAATACCCGACCTGTTAGTTTAGGCACAGGTTATGAGTTTTTGTATCAATTCCCAACTCTTGAGGGTGTAGTCAATCTTCGAAGAGGAGAGTATGTACTTCCCACACGTCCCTATAGAAACAATCCGGATCGTGTGCAGATCGAGTATTATGCCTCATAGTGGTGGTCGTCACCATTGTAGGCACTAGTGTAGTCTTGGTACTTTCATGCCTCAGGTGTCGATAATGTCCGATGACTTTGGGATGAACTGAATTGAGGTCTTCGCGGTTCCCCCACTCTCCATGCATCCATGACAATCATTTTTATCTACAACAGAAGATAATGCAAGGGCTATATCATCCAGATAAAGCTAATGCAAATATCTCCTCGATGCGATGATCAACTTTAGGCACCATCATATCCTCCCCCGAAGTCCCAATGAGCATGGGCCGCTGGTTGCTTCACCCAAGGATGACGGCGCTAAGCTCTGACTACGTGGCTGTCACCCCGCCTATGAACTGTGGCTGCTTGAAGTTAAATCCCAGCCCGACATGCTCCCCCACTATGATAAAACGAGCTGCGTCGAATGGGGCCTGGAAAAGACGGTGAGTGCGCACTAGCCATCCGCTCCAACGTGCCCAAAAAAGCGAGGCATTGATTTCATTTGCTGTTGCTTAGAATCCGCATTGACAATGTCGATCAATACGTCGGGCCGGAATTAATTCATGAACCGTCTTCACTGGCTGCACCGATACCAGCCTCGATAATGCTTTGAGCCCGATCAGCCGTTGACCGGTTGCGTCATTATCTCGAGGCGAAGATTTCCATAGGCAATGTTCGGTGTCAAATCTGATGGCATATAAATAGTTTCGGGATCCGTGGCTCATGGTGACTGAACCACGTTGGTTTCTGAGCTCATCTCGAGGTTTGTCATTACCATTTACACCATGGTGAGGAACATCAGTCTTCTTAGCCTCGATGGCGGGGGTGTCCGCGGATTATCCTCCCTTTACATCCTGAAGCATATCATGGAATCCATCGATCCTGAAAACACACCAAAGCCATGCGAATACTTTGATCTGATAGGAGGCTCGGGATCAGGCGGGTAGGCATTCTATGGTGCACAAATCGTCCCGATCGGGGTTTCGTTACTAATAGCTCCATATCATAGATTGATAGCCATTATGCTTGGTCGATTGGAGATGGACATTGATCAGTGCATCAACGCATACAAGCGGCTGTCAAATCACGTATTCGCTCGAAAGCGACTTCTGCCAGTGGGAGGCAACTTGCGCCGACAATCAAAATATGACGGTCGCAGGATCGAAACTGCCATGAAGGCGATCCTTCATGAGCTTGGCTATGAAGATGACATACTTTTGAGAGAACCGGCATCTTCCTGCAAAGTGTGAGTATTTCTCAATGATACAAAAAGTTGCATACTGATCGGCACAGTTACGTTTGCGTGACCGACGACGGTTCAAAACGGAATCTAGCACCCTTGACGAGCTATCCGAGCAAGTACTGCTCCAACGAGCTTTACAAGACCGCCAAAGTATGGCAGGCTGGCAGAGCCTGCTTCTCCACAGAGCAGCTCTTCGATCCTGTCCCTATCGGACCTAGCGGACGGCGATTCTACAACAGCAACACAGACGCTAACAATCCGGTGCGAGAAGTCTGGATAGAGGCGAGAGGCATATGGCCATCTGGCTCATTGGATACCCAAATACGATGCATGGTGTCCATCGGTACCGGTGTTCCTTCAATCAAGAGATCCAGCAAAGCGATGTTCGGCTTACTGAAGTCATCGCGCACTGATTCCATCGACACCGAGGTGGACATGAACAAATTCCTCCGAGAGCATACCGAACTGGATGACGAGAATCGTCTATTCCGATTCGATGTACCCAACGGATTAGCGGATATTTCTCTCGATGGCATTGATGAAATTGACACGATCGTGGATGCAACCGAGGAGTATCTCGCCAAGGAGCCGGTCTACAAGCAGATACAGAAATGCGGGCGAGCTCTCAGTGCAGGCCCTTAAGCCAGTTTGTGATAGTTCCTTTTGTATAGACTTGGGTGGCAGACTGCTGGAGTTGGATGCGAATGTCTTATATCTAGTCCGTTTAATACTATCGATACCAATGTCAGATTTTCTTCGATCTATCGCACGCCATGAGTGATTGAACAACAATCATCGAGAACCAAGAACAAGAATAACCTTCCCGAACCTAATTTTCTACCAAACAGACCACAAAACCATCTTTCTCTCCATCACTCCACCCAAAAGTTCAACGATGACGAAGTATCTGTTCCCGGAAACATGACGTCAGGAAAACTGACCTCAACTACAAAGCCAGAATGGCCCTCTCAACTTCCTACTGATCATTTCCAAATCTTCACTATCTCAAGAATTTACCACACCACATAGCAGAACAGAAAATCCTCATCAAAATGGTCAAATCCAAAGACACCGTCATCGAGTACTTTCCCCCCTTCCCAAAACAACCCCCTCCACCTAAACCCCATACTAATAATGGAACCAGCGAATTCAACTCCCTCGTCAACATGACGCCCAACGAACTCCGCGACTGGCTCAAAGGCACCCAATCGCAGTCCTCAGGCTGGACGAACGAGTCTTCCTCGTCGGGGGAGACAATCGGACATGAAAGGCATATACATCCCTCCCATCATCCCCATATACACTACACATTTCCTCCCAATTACCAGACGCAGCCAAGCTAACAGCATATTGATAATTGTGTGGGTATGACAGCGGCCGCAAAATCGTCTCCATCCTCGAACACAACCCGTCCAAAGACCCATCGGGGTACTCGGACGAAGACGTCGATCATATGCGAAAGGTAGTGTCGTACTGTAAACGGCATTTGGCGCAGGAGGAGACGGCGAAGCAGAATACGGATAGTAAGAGTTATAAGTCGTTGAAGAATTGGGGGCATGATCCGCTGAAGGGATAATTCTATTTCTTTGTTTTTCAAGGATAAAGAGGTGGGTTGGGGTTGGCTGTTGGGGAGTATTTTGTTTGTAGCGTAGGGAAATACTATGATACTTTTCAGTTGAGGGTTCGATCGAATTCAGGCCATGGTCTGTGGTCCACATATTTTTGTGACTAAATGGGAGAGTAGAGGTAGTGGTTGTAGGTGCCGATATTTCTGCTACTGCTTTGTCTGGTATTTATTTGATAGTCGCATGATTGTGAATGTGAAGTTTTACTACTATACACTATCCATACGTACTACAGTAACAATAGATACCATGTTCAACTTCTTCTTCTTTTATTACTACCCAACTACCTATCTATATACCTACCTACCAAGCTCATCTTAGCTTCACCCACCCCCCGAGGGCAAACCCCAGAGGACAAGCTACTAGACTCCAGCACCACGATGAGGTGTGAGCTTCAATCGCTGGAGGGCCTGGCCCGCACAACCAGGCGTCTCAACGCCATGTATTTCTACATGGGTGAGAACTTTTTTTTTGTTTTCGGCGCTAGTACAGCGCTGGCTCAAAACAGATTGTACCTGACCAGCGGACTAAGCCAGCTAGTCAAGTGTGCGGCTTTTTCTATATACTTGCATTCCCTGTCATCTCAAAAATGAGAGAAGGTACTCGCTTAACACCGGGTGGAGGTATAGTGGGCTCGACGGGTGCCAAGCCAACAACTTATACCTGGACGGCATTGTGCACCGTCACCACCCCCGGTGACTCCCTTATGCCCGTAGGGGGGCAGGAGCAAATTGTTTTGTATACCGAGGGGCGGCAGGGTGAGATGCACGTTTGCGGGAACGTGTCACGCTGCGCGGCTAGCTGCGGTGGCAGCCCCCGGTGGGGTAGGGTGGAAGGGGAGGGAGGTGGGTAGGTAGGTAGGTAGGTAGGGCAGAGGCAGGCAGGCAGGCAGAGAGAGAGGCAGGCAGGCAGGCAGGTCAGGTAGGTCAGGTAGGCAGGTTGATGTAGGCAAGGCAGGTATTGCTCACAAGCCCCCAGGGCTTGACATGGCCTGGGTCGACTGGGGCAGGAGGACTTATCTGATATATTAGTATTGTATACTGAGGCGGGAGTGGCAGGTGAGGTAGGCAAGATGAGGTAGATGAGGTAGGTGAGGCAGGGCAAGCAGGACAGGACAGGACAGGTTGGAGCAGGCAGGCAGGCAAGGTAGGCAAGGTGAGGTGAGGTGAGGTGAGGTAGGACAAGGCAGGGAAGGTTGAGATGGGTATGTAGGTAGGTAGGTAGGAAAGGGAAGGTAGGGCAGGGCAGGTTGAGATGGGTAGGTAGGTAGATAGGTGGGGAAGGGCAGACAGGACAGGACAGGGCAGGATAGGGCAGGATAGGGCAGGATAGGGCAGGATAGGGCAGGATAGGGCAGGATAGGGCAGGATAGGGCAGGTTGAGGCAGACAGGTGAGGTGGGTTGAGACAGGGGCAGACAGGAAAGGTGAGGTGAGGTAGATGAGGTGAAGTAGGCAGGTCGGTAGGTAGGTAGGGCAAGGCAAGGCAAGGCAGGTAGGCAAGGTGAGGTGAGGTAGGTGAGGCAGAGCAGGACAAGACAGGCAGATGAGGTAAGGTGAGGTAGGTGAGGGAGGACAGGGCAGGGCAGGACAGGGTAGGGCAGGATGAGGTAGGGCAAAGTGAGGTAGGGCAGGTTGTGGCAGGTGAGGTAGACGAGGTAGATGAGGTAGGTGAGGTAGACGAGGTAAATGAGGTAGTTTGAGGCAGGTGTGGTAGGATGTGATTCACAAGCCCCCAAGGCTTGACATGGCTTGGGTCGACTGGGGGCAGGGCGACTTACCTGAAAGCTCAGTTGCTTAGACAATGAGCCAGCAGTCGTAGACGAAGATAGAGAAGGATGAAGGGGAGAAAGAAGATAGAAGAGTTAGAAAGATAGAAGTAGGAATGGAAACGGTAGAATCAGACATGAGGAGTAGGAAAGAGAGCAGAATAGTATGAAAGGTAGGTGAATGTATGGTAGACTGGGGAGTTGTAGGAGAAGAAGTCTAGGGAGAAAAGTCCGGGGGCTCAAGGGGCAATTTATAGCCGTTGGGTGGTCACGCTGATTGACTTCATGCTTATCCTTAGACTCGTTTTATTGACTTCATATTGACCCTTAGACTTGAGGCATGACTTAATATCGAGTCACAAAGGAGTTACGGTGTTATAAATAGATCCACGATGTGGTGAGGTGTAGCCGATGTCATCCAAAAGGGAGGCAGCTAGCATCAGGAAGTTTAGACATATGACAGTATGCGGCAGCGGCACCGATTTAAAACGAACAGAACAGGTTCCTGAAAGCCTCATGTATTGTGCTTCAATCAAAATAGATACATCAAATACACAGCATCACTTCCTCAACCAGTTCTTTCCATAAGGCGGGAGCCTCTCTCTCGCTCCAAACATCCAGACTGAAATACCAAGAACTGCCAGAGTGGCCGCAGCACTCAGAACTTTGCTGCGTGAAGTTGTGTCGTTCCCTTCTCGGTCAAAAGGTGCCTTGGCAGGCGGTGATAGCTTCCTCATATTTGTTTCGGAATAAGGAGGGTATCTCGCACCCATAACCCCCTCCATCCACGTTGGTATAGCATTCGTATATGTGCGAAGATGCGAAAAAGCAAGTATTCCGTACTTTCCATGGTAGGAACCAGTACCAGAGTTCCCTACACCACCAAAGGGTGCATCAAGGGCAGCGGCATGGAGGAGACAGTCATTAAATGTCACACCGCCAGAAGCAGTCTCATCCTGAATGCGTTTCTTTTCAGACTCGACATTAGTGAAGGCGTAAAGAGCTAATGGGTGCTCAATACTGCGAGTGACAGAGATGGCGGTATCAAGGTCCGCGTCAATGATGGGCAGGATAGGGCCGAAGAGCTCTTCAGACAGAAGAGGGTCCTCAGGATTGACGTCCACGACAACGGTAGGTCCAAAGTATCGAGATTGACGATTACGAATACCGCCATAAATGATTTTGCCGGATGTTCTATCGAGAAGAGACTCGAGACGATTGAAATTACGCTCGTTGATGATGCGACTGTAGTAGTCTGGCTTGTTATCTCGACCGCCAGTGAACTCGTCAAAGTAGTGGATCAGTCTCGTCACAAAAGCTTCACGTATGCTAGGGTCAATGAGGACGTGATTTACGTTGACGCAGATCTGGAGTCCATATTAGGGCCGATGAAGTGAGTCATTCTGATTGATAAGGAGGGTCATACCTGTCCCGCATTCGAAAACTTAGCCCAAGCAATGTGTTTCGCTGCGAGATCGATATTCGCAGATGGGGCAACAATGGCAGGCCCTTGACCCCCGAGTTCCAAAGTGACGGGGGTCAAGTGTTTGGCAGCAGCAGCATAGATGATCTTGGCCACGTTTGCAGAACCGGTGTAGAAGATGTGATCGAACCGAGTTTCAAGAATATGCTTCATTTCCGACGGCCCTGCACTGACACAAGTAATAGCGTCGCGATCCAAGTACATGGGGATGATCTCCATCAGGAGATCCTGAGAGGCTTGTGCAACGTCGGATGGCTTCAGGACCACCGCACAGCCAGCGGCAATAGCAGCGACCAAGGGTTGTAAGGTCAGTATGAAAGGGAAGTTCCAGGCGCCAATAATCAATGACACGCCCAATGGCTCTTGACGGACTACAGTGCCGCCCAAGAAGTTGATGGGATCCCATCTTGTGGGCTTCTCATCCTTTGTCCATTCGTCAAGCTTGTCAAGGGTACGCAGAATGTCATTTTGAAGACCCGTGATTTCCCCCAGCATAGCCTCCAGAGGATGCTTGTTCAAGTCGACACGAAGGGCATCAAAGATGCGGTCCTTGTTGTCCTCGACCATCCACCAAGCTCTCTTCAGCTGATGGCGTCTCCAATCTTTGCTCTTGGTGCGACCCGAGGTGAAGGCGGCTCGGACGCTGGCATATGCCTATCCCTTGTTAGCCAGGATGGATATTGGCACGGTCGCAAACGGATGAATTAGCTTGCCTGGTCAAACTCTGCCTCGGTGGTAAAAGCCATGGTACTGTTGTTGTGATGCTTGTTGATTCTAAATAAAGAATGCAGAAACTGCGTTTGAGTTGTGGCTTCTTCTATCCATGGGAAAGCTCGAAAGGTGGAGCAGCGATCGCTCCGATCGGGAATCAGCAAGGATGGAATGGAACTGATTGCCGCTAACCCGTGACACCCCCGCTTATACTCAAAAGCAAAACTGCCGAATTCACTCCTCCTTTACTCGAATCACATGCTACTATCAGAGACGATTTGATTGATGATTGGATACTAATCTATGCCTTATTGATATATACTCGAGCCTTCTCAGCATCCTCTGTCTCACCCTCCATCTCGGTAACCTTGGCTCCAATACTTCCGGTGCGGTCTGATTCCCAGTCTATGCTCATCCGTTAGCTTACTTGTAACACTCACTAAGTTGGGGCAATCCGTCTTAGAGCCAATCTTTAGTACATACCAGCAAACTTGCGCGCAGGGATGCGCCGCTGCCACATATCTTCCAGCTCCTCCAGTGAGCGTCCGGTGAGTTCGGGAAGGAAGAAGTATCCGCAAGCCACCCCCACGGCTGCAAGGGAGCCATAGATAAAGCCAACCTTAGACTGGAGATCAGCATACGGGGCGTCGAGTAGGTAGGGAAGAGAGTAGGAGACTGCAAAGTCGCAAACAATCCGGATAAGCCAGGCAACAACCGAGGTCTTGTCGCGGAGTCGCAGATGGGGAGTTTCTGCGCCCGTAATGACAGAACTGTGAGTGTAAATATAGTCAGCGCATGCCTTATCAACGGAATTTGAGGCTAGTCGCGGTAAGGGGGACATACATAGACCCGAAAGACATGATGTAAAACAGCCCGTACATCATGAGCACTCCACAAACTCCACGCTTTTTGTCATCGGTTATGGTGCCTGTCCCTAGCCCACCACAGATCATGAGTAGGGCGGTGGTCATGGTACCGCCGATCAGATATATGGGCCGTCTTCCAGTTGTGTCAACTAAGGAGAAGGTAACTAGAGGGCCAATGGTCGAGATGCCTCGGGATCCTAGCGTGAAGGCGAAAGGATTCATGACTTTTAGGGATTTGACGAACA